AGCTGGAAAGGGAAGCCCCCTCCAAGGTGTTGTTTTGATGAAGGCCGGGGCCCGGCCGGGCACACACAGCAGCCTCAGCTTGGCTACTCCATTTCTCAAGCCACGTGACTCGGTGGCTCGGCTTTATCTTTGGTAAATGAGGTCTCACCTTCTCCCCCCTCCACCTCCCATCGTCTCTGTCCCTCCTCTCTGCTGGCTCTCCTGTTCCTTCTCTACTCCCCGGGGGCAGGACTGTCCTCCTCTGGTTCTGCTGTCCAGCCGGAGATTGCACCCGCTTCCCAGCAGTGTGACCAGAGACAGCTGGGCCTCTGGGCCTCAGCCCTCCGTCTGTAAGGCCTCCGTAGCCGGGTTCCTCCTGGCAGGGCTGCTGGCCGCCAGGAAGAAGAGGCATCTGTGAAGGACACAGCTCCCACGTGACGTGAAGCACGTGCCCGTGGCCCGCTGGGGGCAGCAGGCTGTACGGAGCTGGACGGGGAGTCACAGCTGACTGTTGGAGACCCGGGTGTCAGCCCAGGCCATCCTCGGAACGGTGTCACCACCCAGAGCTGGCACAAAAGGGGGTCTGTGCAGCCGGGGCTGACGTCATTGGGGAGAAACATAGCACTGTCCACTCAATAGGCCCCAGAGTGACAGCGTCCTGGGTACAGCGCTCTCCATCTCCAGGTCCTGCAGGACATGTGATCCGATGAGGACTTGGTGGCTCACCTTGTCCTGGGGCAGAGGGCTTGTTGGAACGCGTCCCCTTTTCTGGGCCAAGATGGGAGTCGTCGGGGACATGGCCCCCTGGACCATGCTCGGCCACCTTGAGTCATCTGGGAGTGTGTTTCGGGGTGGAAGTGGCTCAGTGCTGAGCAGTGAAGGCGCTCCTTCCCGTGGAAGGTACCTGCAGACTCTGTCCCTTTCACGAAGCCCAGGATGCCACGGGGAACAGGACAGGAAGGTCCCCGTCCTTCAGCAGGGCCGGTCAGGAACACCAGCTGTTAAGGAGACAGGCCGTGTGCCCTGGTGGGCAGTGGCGGCTCCCCACAGATGAGGACAGGGAGGCCCTGGAGGGAGTGGCCGCTCCCCATGGACGTGGACGGGGACAGTCCTTGTTAGGAGGCCGCCCCCTCTGCTGAGCCTTCAGAAAAGGCCAAAGGGGCCCTCGCGGGGAGCTAGCTGCTGCTTCCCCAGCCTTTTGCCTTTCCAGCCAGGGACTTGGGTCTTTCTCGCAGTTGTCATTTCCTGTGGCTTCTCAGCTGACTGGTGGCCGTCAGTGGCCCTGCACTGCCCCGTCCTCCACCCTGCCTGGAATTCCCCTTTGGCATCCCACCACCCACTCTGCTCCCTGGCCTCCGAGGGGTGGTGCCCAGGGCCTGCTGGGCCAGCTGCTCCCCGGCCCGGCCACTCTGTCCACCAGAGGTCAGGCCCGGGGCACACTCTCACTTCCCCCTGGGTCTTCTGCACGTGATGCTGGCCAGCTGGACCGTCTCTCCACTGCCCGACAGCACTTGCCCTCCGAGGACCCATCCTACCAGCCGGGGACCAAGCAGGGCACCACGGAGCCAGGTGGGAGCTCCAGCCCAGGGTGCGGCGTCCAGCCTCCGAGGTCCCGGCGCTGGGTGGGAGGAGGCGGGTGAGGGGCTCTCCTGGGGCGGGAGGCGGGGGGAGTGCGATATCAAGGCTGGTCTGACGTAGCGGTCAGTTCTGAAATGCCCCCCTGGTCCCTGTGGGGTTCACAAGTGATTCTGTAGCCAGGCGCGGCGGTGTCACACCCCAAAATCCCAGCGACTCGGGAAGCTGGGGAAGAAGGATCACACGTTCAAGGCCAGTCTCAGCAACTGGGCGAGACCCTGTCTCAAAATGGAAAACAAAAAGGGTCGGGAGCGGACTTAGTGCTCACTCAGCACGGGCAAGGCCCTGGGTTCAATTCCCAGCACCACAAGAAGACAAGCGTGGTTCTGACTCAGAGGTAGGACCACGGTGCTTCACGTACGGGTCCCTGTGGTTGAAATTAGAAGATGGGACTCGGCAAGAGTCATGTTTTACAATCAGTAAGAAATGCCTAGTTGGGTGTTTCTTTTGTTTTTTTGTTCGTTTGTTTGTTTCCATTATTTTTTTTTAAGTTTTAAAAAAAAAGAAAAAAAACTGACCTGTTGGGTAAAAACGTTTGTTTGGATGAGATGGTGATTATAAGCCAGGTGGCCTGTGGACATCACCGGCAGCGTGGCCTGGGGACAGAGTTCTGAGTCTCAGCCCAGCTCTCACGTTCTCAGGAGCGCCGTGGCGTCCCTCCACTTCCCCGTAGCTCCTAACCCATGCTCTCTGACAATGAGTCTACTTCTCCCACAGTTAGCTTTCTCTGGAAGCAGCGTGAGCTTCAGGCTGCCTGAGAGATGGTCATCCCTCCCCAGCCACATGGGTAGCCCCTGGGCAGCGGGCCCTGGCTGCCGGGTGGCCGAGGTAGTGCCCCGCGTGGCGCTGTGTGCCTAGGGCCTGGCCTCTGCTCTCCGTGGAGATACCTGCTGTTTACACTCCACCTTCAGAGCCACCGGGAACACGGGCCTGGTAACAGAGGCTCCTCCAGGAAGATGGTCAGTAAAGCACCTGGCACAGGGCTCGGGGGACCTTATAGACCCAGGGCAGGCCCGCGGGTCCCAGCGGTCCCTTCTGTCTTGACTCCTGCCACGTGCTGGTTAACTGGCTGAAGTGGACCTGCCACTTGTCCTCTTTATCATGGGTCAGTAATGTTCTTCCCGTGAATAAGCTTTTTATAAAAAAAAGTAACATGTATAGATTACAAAAAAAGTCTTCCTGTTGTTGTCAGTTTTCAAACAAATAGGGGCTGTGGTATTACGGACCTCAGATGGGGTTCCGTTCACGCCTACAGTACGGGACCCAAGGCTGTGAGGACATTTCTTATAAGGCAAAGGAAGGCTGAGGCACTTCTAGTAACAGCCCTCGGTGATGGACGCTGACCAGTCCGTGTGGCTGGGGGCTCCTGGGCAAGTTACAGCCCCCAGGGCCCGGGCTTCCTGGTGCCTGCAAGGACCAGGCGCCCCCCGGAAGCTCCTGCAGAGGCTGGGCATCTATTCAGAACGGTGTTAGGTGGCAGGCCTGTGGCTGTCCATCAAGGCCCCGGTTGTCACCCTGTCTCTCTCCCCTGGGGCCACGTGAACTTGCTGGCTCAGAGGCAGGACTCCATGGATCCTGGCAGGTGACACACGTGGTGACCAGAGACCACAAACCCACCCAGGGGGTAGCCGCTGTGCCTGGCCAAATCAGGCCCCTGTTCCAGGCCCTACCATGCGAGGAAACAGCTCTCCACGGAGCTTTTACCAGGGACATCGCCTGGTTTCTAACGGGATTGACTAAGATTTAATCACCAGCTTGGTTTTGAAGAGCAAAATGCGTGCGTCTACTTTCCCACATCCCCCTTAACAAGCCAGTGAGGCTCAGCTTGTCCCCAGCCTCCCGGGGCCACCAGCCTCCTGCAGAGGAGAGGGCCTGGTGTGGCAGGCACACCTCGGTGGCTCTCTGCTCTCCTGTGGCCCGACCTGGGGTCTCAGCCTACGGTGGCGAGTGGCCGTCCATCCTTGGAGAGCGGAAGCCACGGGTCTGAGGAAGGGACTCCTGCTGGGGGAAGCAGAAGCCAGTAGCTCCAGAGGCAAGGACAGGTGTTTCCTGGCTGAAAGGTGACCCAGCAACTCCCCAGCCGTGGGCAGAGCTGCACCTGCACAGCTCATCCTGACCTTGCTCCCCTCAGCCAGCCAGACACCAGAGCAGCCCCGGGGCTTCTCTGGAGGAGACCCCCCCGCGTTGCTGAGTGTGCACTTGAGGGTCTGGAAGGCAGAACCTCAAAAAGATCCAAGTTCCCCTGTGCCCACAGAGGGAGGCCAAGAAATGCCGGATTGAAGATGCAAGTAGCAGAGCCCCCACTGAACTGAAAAGGGCGATTTTCTTAATGTGTGTGTGTGTGTGTGTATACATGGACCTGTTCTATGTGCACGCACGACACAGACACACACACTGCATATTGTGGGAGACAGAAAGTCTGGTGGCCATTTCCAGGATATCGTATTTAGCCTTAATTGGTTCCTTCCCTTTTGTCCATCCCAATTTTAAAATTAGCCCATCGTATAGTACCCCTGAGTCCTCCAGCTGGGGCTGAGGGCGGCGCTGCGGTTGCATGTATCGACAGGTGTTCTGCCTGCCCAGGAGCTTGCTAGCCAGGCCCAGCACAGAGTCAAGAGTTGCTTGCCACCCGCTGTCGAGCCCGTGGTTGATTGCTTGGAGAAATTTATATGTCACACTGCTTTTAACTATGTATCTTAGCTATAAGTGGCGATATACTAAAAAATATAATAAAAGGGGGGGGCAAAAAAAAATTATTTTTTGGTACCAGGGATTGAACCCAAGGTGTTTAATCACTGAGCCACATCCCCATCTTTTTTTTTTTTTTTTTTTTTACTTTGAAACAGGGTCTTGCTAAATTGCTGAGGCTTTGAAATTTTGATCCTCCTGCCTCGGCCTCCTGAGTCACTGAAATGACAGGTGAATGCCACCCTGCCCAGCCAGAGGGGCATGATTTTAAAAATGGAGACTTTCCATTTTATCCTGAGTATCACGTGTTTCTCCTACTTAGGCACATGCTGTATTTACGGGAAATGCCCTCAAATCGGAGGCATGCTCTATCTGAGAAACAAGCCATGGATTCAGGGAGTCCGGCACCTTCACCTGGGAAGGACCAGTGCTTCCCGCAGTGTGACCTTGTGGGCATTGTTTGGGCTCCCCATACACTAGTGCCATTTATTTTGACATTTTGAGTTGTCTTTGCTTTTCCTACTCTAATTTAAATCCAAGGTCAGGCTGGTGATAGATCTGTTTCTGGCCCAGCCCACTGAGGGACAGCACGCAGCCCCTCTCAGGCTGAGCACATCTCCTAAGCAGGAAGTGAGCAGCCAGTCTGAGGGTTTGCTGGCCAGCCCACCTAACGCCACGCTGCCGTCTTGTCCCCACAGATGACCGAGGGCAGGCACTGCCAGGTGCACCTCCTGGATGACAGAAGGCTGGAGCTGCTGGTTCAGGTAGGCACCTCCCCGCCCGGCGGTCCATCCCAGCTCTGCCCTGAGCCTCGTGGTCCGCATCCAGGTGGCTGGCTTACGTGGGAGGCCGAGCCAGGGACTGCGGACTGACAGGGGGGACTCGGTCTATAAAGCCATGGCCGCCAGGGACAGAGGCTTGGAGACTCCTGGGCTCCAACGGGGTCTCTGGCACTCGGTGGCTGTGTGCCCTGAGCCAATGTCTCGGCCTCTCTCAACCTCGGGCTGGTAAGTGGGAGCCACCGCACTCCCCTGAGGGCTGTCACGCGGTGAGGCCTCGTCCTGCTACTTGGCTTGGCACACCTTCCGCACGCAGCTGGGAACCAGGGTGACGATGGCCCGGGCTGGCTCATGGACTCACAGCCAAACCAAGCTAGACGATGTCAGCACTCTGTCAGTGACAGTGCTGTGACCATGGTGTCACAGCCCACACCCGACTTTCTAGTCACCTGAGGCCCTGTCCACTTTCCTTCTCCAATAGCAAACGTCCAACCTCCACACCATGCTAGTGGCTCCACCCAGAATCTGTCAAGTGCCACCCTGTCCTGCCCCTTTCCTGCCCCAGGCCCTGCGAGTCCAGCACCAGTCATGATGTGGACACGGGTGGAGTCCACACCGCGCTGCCCTCCAGCAGAGCTGGAGCTTCCCCCCAAGCCCGTGGATCAGATCCGGCTTCTGACAGGGTCTCCCTCTGTACACTCTGGTGATGACACTGAGCAGGAAGGGAGCGGTCACTCCATCCTCAGAAATGGCAGCTCAGGCTTCAGGAGCAGGCAGAACTGGATCAAATCCCCGTCCTTCCCAAGAGAGTGACACTCTGCCTCCGCTCGCACACCTAAGTGGTGAAAATACAAAGGCCCACCTCCTAGGCTGATGGTAAGGGTTGAAAGAGAAAAGGGAAGTTGTTAGAAATACCGAGGTGCTGCAAGAAATCAAATGCATGCTGGGAAGTAGGTCGGCCAGGGCAGAATGTACTTCTGCAGAAGGGGGCGCCCCCAAAGGGGATCCAGCCAGCAAGCACACCTGGGAAGGCAGTCAGTCCATCAGCATTTATCCCTAACAAAGCACTGCCCCTGCTCCTCATGGGTGGAGTTCAGGAGATACGGTCTACTTGATTAGCTAATATAAAATTGGGGCCGGCACAGGAAAGAGCGACAGTTGTGATTGGATACCTGTTAGGGAATTTAAAAATGGCTCCATTCTGACCTCATGGTTCCCTAAGTTAACATGGCTCCATTCTGACCTCATGGTTCCCTAAGTTAAGATGGCTCCATTCTGGCCTCATGGTTCCCTGACTTAAGATGGCTCCATTATAGATGTGGAACTCAAGTTCCCGTAAATGTGTTTAGCTTTGATAGAAAAGACAACACAAATCGTACAACGGAAGTGAGCTCAGCATAATGAGTGGTAACTGGCATTGTTGTTAGTTCTGTAGCCTCCATTCCTTGGGCCTTGAGGCTTTTTAATAGCACTAGGCAAAATTAATCCCACATCTTTTATAGTATTGCAGATACCTGGGCAGTGAGGCGCTTGGTATTCGCCATCTTGATCACTGACGCGTTGGTAACCACACTGTCACCTTCGAGGGGGAAAGTAAAGTAGGTCCTCCATCGAACTGCAGACACACAGCAGTGACACTGTCTCGGGGATGTCCCCACTCCCACCTCCTCTCCTTCCCACAACTCTTAGAGGGTAGCTTCCAGTAGATTCAGCCCATGAGCCAATGCCCGCAGATATTTCAGAACCCAGAGGCTGAAGCTGCCCAGGACTATCCAGGGCTGAAGAGGGTAGAGGCTACGAGAGGGAGAAACTAACCAAACAGCTTCTGATCCGCTTTTTTTCTCGACAGCCCAAACTTCTGTCCAGAGAGCTGCTGGACCTGGTGGCTTCCCACTTCAACCTGAAGGAGAAGGAGTACTTTGGAATAACGTTCACGGACGACACGTAAGCCTCTCCGGGTTTCGTTTCTGACCTTGGCCCTGGCGGCCTGCTCGCGGTCCATCAGGATGAAGGGCAGGGGAGGGAACCCAAGCCTTTGAGCATGTCCCGCTTGGTCGAAGGACTCCTCGTGCAGGATTTCTTCCTAGACAAGGAATCGTGGCCATTTCAAGAATTCAAAGCATCCTTCTGAGGGATTTGGGAATTCGTCGTCGAGTGTTGGTGGATTTTAATTGCTGTCTGCCTCTTCCCATCTCTGAGTACAGATGTGCTTGTTCATGGAGGGAGAGAGAGGCACTAGGTTGTTCTTCCCTTGTATCATGGAAGTGAATTGATTTTCTGGTATTGGTGGCAAGGAAGTTAAAAGGCGAATTTACAGCCACCTCAAAACTATGTATATAGGCTGGGTGAGGTGGTGCGTGCCTGTGACCCCACGGCTGGGGAGGCTGAGGCAGGAGGACCGCAGGTTCACAACCAGCCTCCGAAACTGAGGAGACACGAGACGCTGTCTCAGAAGGAAATTAAAGGGGCTAGGGGTGTAGCTTAGTGGGCTCAATGGAACCCAAGTACCCCTGGGCTCAATCCCCGGGTACCAGATAGACAGACAGGCAGACAGGCAGGCAGACGTGGTTCAATGTGGAACAGACTTTAGCTGCAGCCTGGGTCCATTTTATGTTCCCTTTTCACTTTCGATCTTCTTTTTCCTTTGACTTCCCATTTTTTATACTAAGTTATCACATTTTGGTGTGTGTGTGGGGGGGGACGGGACACTTTAAATCCTCTCTGAAATGAGGCAGGCACTGTAGGTAGAGTACACTGGTGGGAATCCCAAACTGTGTAAGCAAATGAACTTGGAATTACCAGTCCCTCTGTGTGTGTGTGTGTGTGTGTGTGTGTGTGTGTGTGTGTGCGCGCGCGCACTGTGGCAGCCTAGTTTGTCCCCGTCACTGCTTCAGTGGAGCTGCTTTGAACACCTTGTGGCCTCCAGGGACTTCCTGCAGGGTGGGCTGGTGGCCTGGGACCTCCCACAAATGCCAACAGCCTCCAGCACCACCGGACGGAGCCTCAAGATTCGGCCATCGAGGAGATGAAGAAAATTCTGAAAACGTGGTCTAGACTCGGGGTTCAGCCAAGTCTAGGGAGAGCTGCTGGGCCTCCCCCCCTCCGGGAGCCCGGGAAGAACCTGTTCAGCCTGTCTGCTCCCTCTGCTGGGCAGAGTAGGAAGTGCAGAGGTCCCTGGGCCTCGCACCCACTGGAAACCCACCCAGAGCCGCTCACGGGAAGCAGAGGTGGCAGATGGATGCAGGCACGTAGGTTGCATCTGGATGTGACAGAGCAGCCGGCAGCCCCAGACCGAGCCACAATACATAATGATGGAGTTAACGCGGCACAGGCTGTGATGGCCCCACGCACTGTCATTTCGGTGGGGGTCACAGAGAGGCGAGGCCGAAGCACCGGTTCTGGAGGGCTTCATTGGCTTTGAGTGCCCCCCAGCCCCCAGCTGACCCCTTCTGGATCCCAAGGGGCCAGCTTCGAGCCACACAGACAAGGCCCTGCCCTGGGGGCTTCCTGTTGCCGTGGTGGCGTCTGGCAGGACCAGCACCCAGGTGGATGATGAGGAAGCTCCAGCAACTTCAAGCGCCCAAGGAACATAGTGTGAGAGGTGGTGGCAGGAGGCAGAGGGCAGGGGGGCCTGGATGGCTTTTAGGAGGGGACGGGGGCTGGAAAGTCAGAACCAGCTCTGCAAAGGCATTCCCAAAACAGCCAGTGCATAGGTCCTGGAGCAGCTCACTTTGTGGCTTATTTAGTTATTTTTCTGGTTAGCTTTTTGAGAAAGAAAAAAGGTAGTCTGGCAGGAGCAGAGATCTCAATGAGGTGAGGCGTGTGAGGGCAGCTGTTTGGCTTTGAGGCCAAGGTCTCTCGTCTGTACCAGGGACCTCATCATCCTCTCTATAGGGGGAGCGCCACAGGAGGCCCCGAGATAGGCTGCCGGCATGGGATCCTGTAGCAAATCAAGGAGGCTGTGCACAGCCCGAGGCTCAGGCTATGAAGGGCTGCCGTCCTACCCTCAGCCATCACAGAGGGACTCTGTGCAGAGGCTGCTGGACGTCCTGCCTCTCCCGGGAGGCACGCTGGACGGTGCACTGTGTTTTATTTCCTTCCTTCTTTTTATTCACCAGGCTGTGGACTGGACCTAGGGACACTCTGCTGCCAGGCTACATCCCTACTTTTTTAAATTTTTTAAATTTTGAGACAGGGTCTCACCCAGGCTGGCCTCCAACTTGCGATCCCCCCCAAGTGGTGAGTTGCTGGGATTGCAGACCCCTGCCACAGCACCTGGGGCAGGTTGATGAGATGGAGGGGAGGCCGGACCATCCCAGGCAAGAGTCGTCTGGGGGTGAACGCAGGGACATGGTCCCGAGCAGGGTGCACTTGCCCAGCGTGCAGACAGGGAGAGGAGCAGCTCGCAGCTGCACCCAGAGAGCACCCCAGGGTGCTGAGGATGCCGCACAGGGCGGGAACAGGATCTGTGACTGCAGTGTGGGGTTCCTCGGGCCCCAGGCTCACAGGGTGCTGGAGAAGAGGGTCCCGGCCACTCGGAAGCTCAGCTGAACGCCAGCCGGACAGAGACCAAGCAGCCTTCACACGTTAGAGCTTCCTAGACAGAAAAGCAGGCCCCACGGTCGGCCCCGGCCTCGCCCTCTGTCCCCGCGTCCTATCTGCAGCCACTCCTGGGGAAGCGTGGTCTGCGGGCCCCCTTCCTGTGCAGCCTGGGCTCCGGCAGTGGAGGCCCAGGCCTCTCAGGCCCTGGCTCCAGCGTGTCCTCCAGGCCCCGCTGCAGCACCGTGGGCTGGTGAATCACGCTGGGCAGGGGCCTGCCGGCTGTGGGGCTGCTTGTTTTCAGAGCTGGGCTTTGTGGTGGGCAGGGAAGAGCTGGCCACTTCCACCTTCCGGGGGAACACGCCTAGCAACCCACTTCTGTCTGAGGGTGTCCCCTGGAGCGTCCTGGTCACAGGCCTGGCCCTGCAGCTTTGGTAAATATTTTTGGAAAGCGTTTTCTTTCTGCCCTCCCTGTCGCCCCCATAAACCGCCGCGTGGGGCCCCTCCCAGGACCGTCTGAGCCCATTTGCCAGCCCAGACGCCACATCAGCGGTGCCTCTGGTGAACGTCTTTAAATAGAATCGAAGGAGCATTTTGTCAGTGAACTGGCTGCTGTGTGCACCCAGTGCGCTGGCTCAGGAGAGACGGGCAGGCCGGCTGCCCTGCGTGGTGGAAGGGTCCTGAGTCCAGACAGGCAAACACAGACCAGCAGAGGGAGGCCCAGTCCCCAGAGCCGGCCATGCAGGGCCGACTCCCCCACTAGGGGGCAGCCTGGCCCTCCGCACCCAGGGCAGTCCTTCCTCACCCTGGGAAAGGCTGGGTGAAGAGATGGCAGATGGACGCAACCGTGGCTTCTGGTCACTGTCCCTCAGCCATGCCTGAGACTGAAGGGATTCGGGTCAGAAGGACAGCACTGGGCTATGGTTGCCCACCCACGAGGACTGGACGCACCTGTCTTTTTAAGTTGACTCTATCTCTTCTATTTGCTGACGGAAACTCTTGAAAAGGCAGGTTAGAAGCTGTACGTGACTCTACTGATAACCTTGGGGGGTGGAACTGGGGGAGCTCTTCATCTGGTCATTCTTCAAGATGTTTTCCAGTTGTTAGGATTACAAGGACACCTTAAAAAATCTGGTTTCTTACGTGCACTTTTAATTTTTTATTTTACATGACGTACACGTGACTCTTCATGGGAAAATGCTCGATGCCCTGGTGCTGGCCAGGCCCTGCGGACCCCCCACCGCAGCCCTCCCGCAGGGCCACAGCACCAGCCGTGGGCTCTGTCTCCCGGGCTGCGGCTTCCTCTGAACGTTGCGTGGCCTTCCACCTGTGCCTCCGTGGCTGGCCGGCTGGCCGTGTGTTGGTGGCACTATCCACCCACGTCCCTCCCCCTGGCACGTAACTCCTGCAGGTTTGTGAGACAGCGCAGCGTGTGAGCTGCTGCACACAGGGAGGGGACCCAGGGCAACCCAGAGCCTGCTGCATCTGCCCTGAGAGAAGCGTTGAGACGTGATCCCACACGGCGTCCCGTGGGTTTTAGGAGGACACGAGATGAGCTCTGAAATTCGAGCGGGTCTTCCAATCACAGCATCGGCCTCTGTTTTGTTTTATTTTATTTCCTTACTCATAAAAGCTGTGGCTTACGTTCTGCCTCCCACCTTATTTACCCACGGCAGGTTCTTCCAAGGAAATCTCGGACAGTTGTCGGCAGCCTTGGGGGTTGATCGAGGAAACAGTCACACTTTTGAAATGATGGCGTTTGCACATGAATGGATGGAGCGGGAGAAGGTCCTGCTAAGCAAAATGAGAACCAAAGTCCGAGTGTTCTGTCTGATACGCACACAGATGCTGATTCACAACCCGGGTGGGGTAGGGAAGAACAGAGGTGCTTTGCATTAGACAGGGGAAGTGGAATGAATGGGACATCACTACCCTGTGTGCACGTGACTACACGACAGGCGAGATTCTGCATCACGTACAACCAGAAGAATGAGAAGTTCTACTCCGTCTGTGTGGGAGGCGTCCATGTGACTTCTGCTGTCGTGTGCAATTTTCCTACCTACTTAAAATGAACACAGCTTCGAAGGTTCTGGTTTTGTATTTTAGTTAGTTGCAGTGCCCCCCAAGAAGGCCCATTATAGATTTTGTGGCAGTTCGACACCCCCCTGCACCATCAGGTTTAAAACTGGGTTTTGTGGGAACAACTGGAAAGGTCCCCAAATGCGAGGACTAGACAGGCAACCTTGGCAGCCTGTACACAATCCTCAGCCCCGGGCTCCCTGCGAGGTCACAAGAGAGACCACTGTTATACCCTCGAACCGGCTGAGGCTCTTGATTAAATAAACACAGTTTAAATATGACTGAGTCCCTGTGTGTACACAGAAGCAGCCCCCGAGGAGAATCAGCCCTCTACATTTTCAAAAGCTATGGTATTGTTAGCTGTGAGTTTCATTTCATTAAACCAGAAATCTGCCCTTCTTAACTAAAACACTTTGCATTTCATACTTAATAAGAATCTAGAAATTAATACGCTGCCCGGCAGTTTAACTCCCCCCAAATAATCACTGTAATCAGTTTCTTATTTTCTTGCAGATTTTTCATACATGCGTGCACGTATATATGTCAATTCTTCTTATTGATTTCAAGAAATAGCACTCTACTGTGCTTAGGGCCCTGCGTCTTGCTCTCTTGTTTAGTATCGTGTCTTGCAGTTTCTTCTCAGTGCGTGTGTAACCGGGCTCCGCACCCCACGCCGCTCCTTTGTGCTGCGTTGTATTTCACTGCGGTTCTAGATACCCTCTGTAGCCATGCCCTGTATGACATTTGAGCTATTTCTGGTCTTTTGCTATTAGAAATAACGCTACAGGGAGCGGCGTTACACCTGCTCCACTTTTCAAATGCACAAGTTGACCCTGATCAGTTCCCTGGGCCAGAGCGGAGACGTCCCTGGTTTTCAAGGAAACTTCCGCTGACCCTTCTCCCCACTCTGCCCTCACAGGGGTCAGCAGAACTGGCTGCAGTTGGACCACCGAGTCCTGGACCATGATCTGCCCAAGAAGCCGGGCCCAGCCGCCTTGCAGTTTGCCGTCAGGTACGTAGGTGTGGCCAGTGGTTCCTGTCTTCTCTGCGTCTGTGTTTTGCTTTTGGACACTTCTGGTGGTCAGAGATGGTGAATAAAAAGAGGGGAGACCTCCCAGGACACCTTCAAGAGGGGGTGTCCCAGGTGGAGGTCTCTCGGAGCTAGCAGGGCTACTCCCTTTGAAGAGATGGGGAGGCCCGCCTTCCTTCCTTCCTTCCCAAAGCTTCTCCGACACCGAGCCTCAGAGACATGAGTGGTGAGTCTGACAGCAGAAGCCTGTTTTCTCCTCAAGATACTTTAGGGTGCTTATCGCTTGAAACACGGCAAACAGTTGCTGTCACGTTGTATGGCGGAGGGACGTGTTCTGAAGACCTGGAGACCACTGGATTGTTTTAGTCTCGTGCCTTAATTGGAACAGAAGGTCCAGTGCAGACAAGTGCTCAGGGGAGGAACTGTGCTAAGAGCTCAGAGGTCTGAGTTCTGTCTGCAAGCGAGACCTGGGGCCGGCTCCGTGAGCCGTGCTCAGACGCAGCCCTGGACTGGGCTGGGAAACGGGTGCCCTTGACTCGTCGCGGTTCCTCACAGCCGGTCAGCCTGCAGATGCTTCACCCTGAATCCTTAACAACCCAAGATGAGCAGAGCGGGGTAGGAAGTCACCACCGAGCTCTTCTGCCCAGCTTAGGAAACGGAACGTCACGGTGGAGCCGAAAGCCCCTTCTCGGGCGCCGCTCCCCCAAACCACGTGGGATGAAACGGCTTCAGGGTAATTTGTTTTCCTGGTCTGAAGCCAAGTCTGATAAGTGAGTGAGAGGTGAGTAGTGAGTAAGTGAAGGTGGTCATTTTCTCACCAGTCCAACCTACTTCAGCTGCGTCAACCTGGAGCTCTATCCTGAGAGGGTGTTAATTTGGGGGTGGAACAAACGCACTCCATTTCCTAATGGCGGAAGCGCTTTTTCCTTGTCATGCTTATTTATTTTACTAAATGATTTCACTCTAATGACCTGGGAAAATCACGCCGAACTTTCACAAATACCTTTTCGTGTTTATTCCGCCTTTTCCATGAAATCGGCAAGTGTGAGAATAATCGATCCTCCCCGCCTTTTTAAAGAATATCTTTTTAAATATGATTTGCTGGCGATTGTAGGGGAGTTGTGGCTCCTCCTGCAGCGGATGCCGTTGACAATCCCTAGTTGCTGGTTTGTTTTTTTTTTTTTTTTTTCTTTTTCTTCCAAAGTCCACTTGGGATTTTTCTCCTTACGGGAAGTCCTGTTGTGCTTTGTCTTTTCTTTCCTGTGTTGTGTGTGTGTGTGTGTGTGTGTGTGTGTGGTGCTGGGCAGAACCCAGGGCCTGGTGTGTGCGTGCTGGGCACAGGCTTTACCCCAGCCCCTCGGAAGTCATATTTAAAACCCAGGAAGGAGGTGGCACAGCGTTGACCTTTGCAGAGCGGCGTGAGTTTCCCGGAGAGGGTGTGGGGCGCATGCTCGCTGCCCGGAGGTGGAGGAGAGGGAAGGCCAGCAGCCAGCCAGAGATGACCACTGCGCCTGGTCATGAAGCAGAGCCAGAGAACAGCCAGCTCTCACTCCCACACTGCGGGGCGAGCACCGTCCAGCACAAGAGGAATACGCTGTTTCGTAAAGAATCACGTGACTGCGCTCAACTTTTGGAACTCTGTGTGTACGCACAGCAGAGGGTCCAAGTTGTCCTTCCCTGGCCCCTCCACTTGGCCCCGCCATGGAGACAAACAGGACGAGTGGTTGGGGACTGTTTTCCTGCAGGAGACCTCTCCCTTAGCTCCCAGACCCCTGGTGTTGGCCCTCCTGTGATTCTGCTCTCCTGTCGCCTACCCAGCACACGGGCTGGTGCCAGTCACAGGCGTCAGGCAGCAGCGGGCACACGGGTGCTGCTTCTGGAGCGTGACGTGGGGCGAAGGAAAGCACTGTGTCCTTGGAGGACTTCGCAAGCTCCCTGGTTTTGTAGCCGTATTTCTCCCCGAGTTCTTGACAGCCGCTGTCCGGTCCACCTCAGGTCTGACCGTCATCCGTGGGGCCGCTGATCCGGGGCCCGGGATTCCAGATGGGCCTGCGTCTTGTTCCAGAGCTCAGCACGTCCCCGTCGAGTGCTATCTCAGAGGCTCCCACCATCGCCCCGCGTGACTTTCCCCTTAATTGCCTGCAAGTTGGGACGCTGATCTAGATCTTCCCTTTTCACGGAGTCCATCCTCCCAACGAGATGATGAGATCATCATGGTCTGTGTTATTATTCCAATTAAATCGTGGTCGTTACTCCCCATTAAATTCATGATAAAGCAAAAGCCCACACCACAGACGTAGGCAAACCGACCGCAGGCACCGAGGGTCACGGGGTCCTGGGGCTCGCCAAGGTGGCTGTCACACAGCCCAGGGAAGCGGGGTCCCCGTGAGGTTCTCCGTCCTCCCAAGCAGAGGAGACAGAAGAGACACCAACGGCCCCTGCAGGCTGCTTGTGGCCCCTGGAGCTAGAGCTCCAGCTGTCACTTGTTCTGCTTTGAGGACCCTCTGTGAGATGCGTCACCCCGACTGAGGACCCTCTGTGATATGGGTCACCCCGACACACTCTTGCATCAGGAAAGCCCTGTCACCTGCCCAGGAACAGGGAGCACGGAGCCCTCCGACCCAGTCCTAAGTGCCCGGCCACTGGGAAGCTAAGGCACATGAAGGTCTCCCCGCGGTGCCCGCCATCGCAAGGACGCGCATCACTGCTGCTGTTAGTGCAGACGGTTAGAAATGCCCAGGTGTCCACCGTGGAGGTGGACAGTGAGTTAGGGCACGTTCACAGCAAATGAGTCACTCAACCAAAGAGACCGGATGCAGAACGACCTGGTGTTCAGAGTTCTTCAGAGGGACCGCAAGGGCATGTGGAGTCATCTTGGGAAATTCTTCAAACTGCAGTTACCTCCTCTCAACCCCAGCCCCCCACTCGCCCAGGACCCTGGCCCACGTTCTGACGCAGTGCCTGCTGGGGGGGGGCTTGTCCCCGGGACCCTCTCCCCACCCCTCCCCGTGTGAATCCACGACGTCTGGGAGACGCAGTCCCAGGCTGGGGGCTTCCCTTCTTCCTGACCCCTTTTGTTATGGGCTCCTGCAAGGCGCCCTGCCAGTGGGCAGGTGGACGGTGAGCCAGGCAGAGGCCCCCGCATCGTAGTCAGCTCCTGGACACGGCCTTCCTTGGGTCTCTGGGATGAGGGGCTCCTCTGCCGTGTAGCTGCCCAGTTCCTACCACGGAGCTGGCCCTGTGCTCGACGCTGGGGACACAGGCGTGGTGACAAAGAGTGACCGAGCCCTGCTCTCCCTGTAGCCTCGAGAGAAGAGGCCGGCACTCAGGCAGGTGCATGTGCAGGTGGTCTGAGGGGAGGGATTCCGGAAAACATACCTCGGGGAGGGGCCAGGGAGCCTCAGGGACGCCCGGGCTGCCCCCGGGTCTCCGTGCTCCGACAGGCTTCTCAGAGAAGTTGGCGTTGGACAGAGACCCTGGGGAGAAGAGGCCGGAGCTGTGCAGGTCTCTGGGAGGGTTATTCCAGGCGGGGACTAGCCGGTGTGCAGGCTGCGTGGCAGGAACGTGTCTGCGTGTACAGCCCCCGGGCATCCAGCGCCTGCAGAGATCCCTAAAACGGAGGCACGTGCTGCCTGGCATCAGGCCTGTGAGTTGTGACCTGTGGTCAGCAATTCCCATTTCGCACAGCCTCCCGCTGGCTGCAGCCTTAGGGCAGAGTGGAGGGGTCAGGGACGCCGTGAGATGAGCTGAGAAGCTTTTGCAACAGTCCAGGCCTGAGACGAGTCTAGAAGGAGTTTGTGCAAGACCTTCTAGAAACGTAAGAAAACCCTGAGTCGTAGGGTGCACACACAGAAACCCACCCTACAGCTGGCCCCCGAGATGCGGCCTCTCCCCTGACAGGTGGCAGAAGCCCTGTGACAGGCAGCGGCTGAGCACTTGACCTGAACCGTCTCGTTTACTCCTGGCCTGAACACTGAGCTCCTGCAGATGCGAGGGGCAAGTCCGTCTCTGGCTCACGTCCCCTCGATGCCGGACACAGCTCTGACAGGGGCGGCTTCTGCCGGGAGAAAAGAAGCCGAGGCAGGAGTCGGCCTCCCTCTCCGACTCAGCGCTAGGCCTTTGCCTTTCCTCCAGTTACAGAATCTCAAAGATCCGTGCTCCGTGGGTGTGCAAGGGATATGTGCATAGACCCACCGTAATTTATTGATGGGCCTGAATTTATTTAGCCGGCTCTCCATTTCCACGTGAGCCCAGACTCCCCCGGGTTCCTGGGCACTTCCCTGGGTGTTGTTATCTTCAGCGGAGAGTTATCTTTGGCAAGCACATGGCCTCTTGGGTAATGCAGCCCAGATGTGAGCGTTTCAAAGCTTGACAGTGAGGGACAAGCAGGCTTGAAATAGGAGTGCGAGGACTTGGCCTGACCTCGTCGGAAACCTCCCGCTGCCCCGGAGCAGGGCAGCCAGGGGCCGCTGGGCTGGTGCCACCCAGCTCCGTCCCCGCGGGATCTGGGTTAACTCTTCTGAAGGCCTCTCGCCTGTTTTCTTTTTGGTCTTCCTTCTCCCGAACTTTCCTCCTCCCCTTTCTAAGTCACCTTTGCTGTGTCCTAGGATGGTAGTGACTTGCCATTTGTCCTCGGTGGCTCAGAGCAGAGAACTCTCCACCGCGGAGGGGAATTTGAGGAGAAAACCTGAGGCAAGACTGCTACTGCCTTGTCAAAAGAAGATTTTTTTTTTTTTTCCAATCACCATGTGTCTATAACAGGTAGAGACTAGGGTGACAAGAAAAATTCAGTGACATGGGCAGTCATGCTCCTGATAGGAGCATGTGCACAGCGACACACACCTGTAGTCTCAGCAGCTCAAGAGGCTGAGGCAGGAGGACCACAAGTTCAAGGCCAGCCTCGCAGCAGCAACTTAGCCAGACCCTGTCTCAAAATTAAAAATAAAAAGGGCTGGGAGTGTGGCTCAGTGGTTAAGGAACTGAGAATCTATCAAAATTCCTGATAGATTCCAGGTAAAGGAAGTGGACCACTGGGTAGTGCTACACGGCTCGATGGCACTTTTGCAAACGCTGTGCACACGCAGAAAGAAGTTTGAGATGTTAGCAAGAATCACTTTCGTTTTTTCTTCTTTGGCTTAATTTTTTTTTTCTGCTGCAATAAACCAATTCCTTGAGTAAATATTTTTGATTCAGCGTGAAAAGTAACAAAAGAAAAATGAGATACCGCATTTGTGGCTGGGTCGTCACGAGTTATTTAGAGCTCTCAGGGAGCGGGAGATTTACAGGCACACTCAGACAGGGGAGTCCACCTTTTCAGGAGGAATGTGATTTAAAAGCCCAGAGAAATCCTGGATTCCCCCTGCGGGGGCCCTGGGAACCAGCCGGAGCTCCCCCGCGCTCCATCTGGGGGCTCCGTCTGGGGATGCAGTCAGGGGCCCCCGAATGTCCGTGAGGATGTGCAGGCTGCTGGCGAGCAGCCCCCGCCTGTGAGCGTCCACTCCGGGGGAGTTGAGAGACACAGAGCCCCCGATCCTGACTCCAGTCTCTCCTCACTGTGCTCCTTGGTCAGAAGGCAGAAAACCGAGTGTGGAAAGGCGCTCACGCTCTCTGAGACCTGGGTCCTGCGCTTGGGTACTCCTGGCATTTCCAACTTTAGGAGACAGCCTCGGGGTCCACGGACGTGGGTGTGCCTGGGTGTGTCTCGGGCCATGAGGCAGGAAGCCTCAGGTGACCTAAGGATTCATAATGGGGGCGGGGGGCAGGAGAAGGTAGAGGACAGGTTCTCCGGCGAGGCCTTCGGGCAGGGTCTCCGTGGCAGCAGGCCCTCCTTTATGGTGGAGAGCCCTGCTGGGCTGCAGGGATTCCGCAGCAACCCGCAGTGCCACCCACCGAGGCCAGGAACGGGCCGCAGCCTGACAGTCAAAGCCACCTTCACGGTGCTAGCGCCAGCCGGCCCCGGAGCCGTGCCTCGGCGCCCTTCTTGGTTGCAAGCCCAGCTCTTCTCAGCCACGTGGCCTTGGGCACCGTGGACACATCTGAGCTGGTGTGGTACCTCTGTACCGGGGCTGTTGGAGGAGACCATGTGAGCGGTGGAGCATTCATCATGAGCCACCAGGCTTGGGTCGGACCCATTCTCCTGTGTCCTGGGGGGAGGCCCTCAGCCTGGATCCCCATTATTCTCCATGCCCAACTGTCCCCTCCCTGAAGGATGGACCCCCCCCCATGCCCATCCCCAGCCCTGCTCTGCTCTGGTGGCTCTGAAGAGGTGGATCTTGGGATTCCCATGGCCTTGGCACCTCTGGCATGTACAGTCCCTCTCCTGGCCCTCACACCTGGGCCTGCACCGTTCTACGGGGCTCAGAAAGCCTCCCAGGGGGAGGGGAGCCAGAGGGCAGGAGAGGTGGGCTTCTGCAGGCTACTTGCAGGTGGCCCTTGGCTCTGAAGCCCAGGCAGGGGGAAGGGCTTTGCCCGCAGGGGACACGGAGCAGCAGGTATGCAGCTATTAGGAGTTCTCCAAGACTGCTGTCCACCCAGGGATGACAGGAACCTCTGGACTCCCAAACGCTGGGGAGGGTGGAGCCACCTGAATTGGCCTTCAGCCCCAGGTGTGCATCTGGAGACCCAGGATGGCTCTGGGGTGGAGCCGCATGAGTGATCAGCAGGTCTCCCTGCTCGGAGTGGGGATCAGGCCTGAGGCTGCAGGAGGTCCTGAGATGACCTGCAGGCTGGGGAACCCCAAGGAGGACTTTGTCAGGCCCCACAGACCTAGCAATGCCCCCAGGGCAGAGCACGGGCAGTTCTGCTGGGCTCAAAGTCCCAGCAGACCAAGAAATCCGCTCAGCCAGGGACCAGAGAAGTCCTACCTGGTGAGGAGAGTCCTGTTCTGTGTTGAGACAGATACTTTTGTAGCCTTTGCTTCCTTCAGACAAAGAGCCTAGGAGAGACACTTAGTTTCCATTCTGGATTTTACTCTTCACGTTTTTAAAGAGGCTCCCTGCTGGGTCCATGCATTGTATCATAGTCCCACTGGTAGAGTGAGAAGGGTACGCTGTCCGTCTCCACTGAGCGTGGGCTGCTCAACCATGTGCCCCTCTAGGTTCCGCACATAAGAGACCCTGCTCGTTCCTCTGGGGCGTGGACCAGAGTAAGAGGAACACAGAGAGCAGAGCAGCTGGCCCCAGAGCCGAGCCTGGGATCCACATGACTCTTCCCAGCTCCGTGGTAGTGAGTTTGGCCTCCAGTAAGTACCGAGGTGAACGTGTTGGCCTCCTAAATCCAAGGACAGCCCGCCACAACAACCCCAGGGCTTGCTCTCTGACCGCCGTGTCCGGTCCTCTGCCTGACAGCCTGTCACCATCATGTCCCACTGATGGGCCGTCAGGTGAGCCATCGGGAAAGAGAGAAGATGCTCACGGGAGGAGCCGGAAAGGTGGCAGCAGAGCTTCTCGGGGCAGCTGCTCTTCCCCAGAAAGCATCCTTTGTGACGCTGTTTGAAGTTAACTCCAAAACCTACGCCAGCCCAACACCTCTGGGTTCATTCCAAAGCTGAAAATTTAACCCTGGGCATCAACGGAACAGAATCCTGGAGAAATCCCCTCTACCCCCCTCCAGTGCATGTGAAGAAAGCAAACAGTGTGTTTTCAAAAAGGGCTGGAACAGACGGCCTTTATCCTGTGAGTCTGGGATGGTCCGTTGGCTTCCGTGAAAGAGCCCTGGGCATTGATGGGCCGCCGTCCTCGGCCTAGGCAGCCACGGTCCAGGTAGAGCTACCTGCATGGAAAGAGGAGACCCTGGTGACAGCCAGCTCTGCCTGGTGACAGCCACCTTGTGACAGTACAGCACGTAGGATCGGGGGCCGTGGCTCAGGGGTACAGCCCTCGCCTGGCACGTGTGGGGCCCTGGGTTCAGTCCTCAGCACCACCTGTAAAGGCACAAAGTGAAAAATCCATTGGCAACTAAAATCGTTTAAAAAGAAAGAAAGAAAGTCCAGCACGTTGTCCAGAAAAGACACCACTCCTGGCCTCATCCCCCCCAGCCCGGACCTGTCTGTGTTCAGCAGACTCTGTGTCCTCCTGGCCCTCAGAGAGGGGCGATCCCAGCACCTCCTCTGGTCTTTCTGACAGAAGCGACATCACAGGGTCTGCGTGGTGAGAACCAGCTCAGTTCCTACCTGTCCCAGGTGTCTCGTGGGGCACGGTCTATTTTACCTGATCCATTAGAGTTGACCGAGAGCCCCCAGGTAGGCGTCACTGTCCTCCACCTTACGAGCCAGGGGACTCACTACCCTTCCTCAGTGACACCCAGTTCTAGATCCAGGGGAGAAAAGGCTTTGTGAGCGATTGCTGTTAAGATGGTTGAGCATTTGACACACGTTGTCAAAGCTGATCTTTCCAGAGTCCTATGAGGTCAGTACGATCCTGACACCCATCTTAGACAGGACCTGGAAGGTGAGTCCTGTGGGCCCTGGGACACACGCCTGGCAACCGCCTGGCAACCGCAGAGGTGGGGTGGGGTGCTCAAGGTCGCCTGGGGCTTCCCCACCCGCTCACCTCATGGGGTGAACCCCGTCAGTAAAGGCAGAGGCTTTATTCTCCTCCCCGTGGAATTTTCCTAATGATCCCACGTCACAGGGTGGCGTTTTGGAATGACTTTACCATCTCGGTGATAAGATCGCCACCGCCTCTCGGGCTGGCTGCGTTTCATTACTGCTGAGAGGCGCCCAGAGGAGCCGTTCCCCACGCCCCTCCGGCCTGGCGTTATCTGCACTTTCTCCAGCTCCAGAGCAAGCGCCCTTCCAGGCCCCAAGCTGCACGCTGGCTGGGCACCTGTTTCCCCACGTGGAAAACCTGTGGCCTCAGCTCACACCCAGGGGTCCCTACAGACTCCCCTCCCTCTGAGGAGGGACAGAGCCCATGACACCGAATGAACAGGCTCCTAGAGAGGGGGCCCTGGAGAGGCATGAGAAAAGAGCGGGATTGGCGGCTGCACAGAGCTGGGCTCCCCGCCAGGGCAAACCCAGGCCTAGGAGGAGCCTGAGGAGGGGGGTCTCCGGGTGTCCTGAAGCTCTCTGAGCGTGGGTTGAGCAGTCGGGCCCGGGCCCACCCCAGCCTGACACCTCTGAGCCTCGAGGGTCCCTGTGCAGAGTGTGCTCCGCCTCCTGCCTTCAGCGCTGCACCCCGACCCCCACCCCAGGCTTTGCGTGAAGCTCCCCGGGGCGTTCCAAGCTCCCCAGAGCATGCATCAGAGAATCCGCGACACACGCGGGTGTGTGGCAGCTGGGTGCATGCTGAGCCTCCCTTGGTCTCGCTGTGCAACCCACAGAAGCATGGCCGGGGAGCTTCTATCTGCAGGTACCTGCTGTACAGATGGACGGGAAGCACACAGGTTGCCTGGTTCCTCCGAGTTCTGCCTTGCTGCAGGGGCACGCGCCATGAGGCCACGCGGTCGTGCCGCCATAAGGGAATAAATCTGGAGAAACAACCCCCTGTGCTGTCTTTCAGGTTTTACATCGAGAGCATATCGTTTCTAAGGGAGAAAACCACCGTGGAGCTGTTTTTCCTGAACGCCAAGGCCTGCGTGCACAAGGTAAGGGCCCTCTGCCTGTTGGCCTCGCTCACCGAATGCCACCGGGGCCAGGTCACATTGAAAGTAAGAAGAGTCCACTGTCCTCTTGTCGGTATTTCCTACCGGCCTCAATCCCCACCCCCCGAGTGGCGGCTGATCCTTCCCAAGTCCCCAGGGGTAGGGACAACCACCCAGAGCGATCACGCTGACATCCAACCTCTGTTCTCCAGAGTGGCCAGCGCCACACACAGAATGCCCAGGGTGATTGAACCCTCCCTGGACAGGCTGTGCCCTTTGTGTGAGTTTGTGGACAATGGCCTGGAATACACTCGGTCATGGTAGGTGGCCCCTGTGCACCAGGAAGATGAGCTTGCTGCTGTCCTTGATGGATGTCCCATGAAGGTCATCCGGCCCCCTCGGCGGGTTCCAGTGCATCGTCTTGCTGGACCCCTGTCAGGCTGGTGCATCCGCTAGGGACAGAGGACTGTCTAACCTCTGCCTGTTCTTGTGGGTTTCCTGTTTCTTTCTCACGTTCTCAGGGCAGTGTTCTTGACACCGAAAACTGCTTTGTTGATATCAATGTAGCCACTTTGAGTTTCTTTGGGTTGATTGGTATTAGCAGATATCTTCTCCTCCCCACCCCCAGTACCGGGGATTGAACCCACTGAGCCACATCCCCAGCCTTTCTAATTTTGTACCTTGAGACAGGGTCTCGTTAAGTTGCCCAGACTGGCCTCCAACTTGCGATCCTCCTGCTTCGGCCTCCCAAGTCCCTGGGTTGGCAGGTGTGCACCACCGCGCCCGGTGTTTCTGTTGTGACCTGTGAGTTTCTGTGTATCGACAGTCTGCTTGTCGGAAGCACACAGCGTAGGAGTTGCGTCTTGATTTCCTGGGTCCTGTTTGACCATCTGCCTTTCCGCTGGGCTCTGCCCTCTATTGACCCCCAAGCTGATCATCGCACAACCAGCCTCGATTCTCCCACTTTCTGTCTGTTCTTCTTTGCCCCCTTTGGGTTGCGTTTTCTTGTCCCCTTGTTGGGTCATGGGCTGCAGCTGCCCTGTGACTTCCGTGGTTGCTTTGGGGTTAAATCTGCACATGTCCTGCTCACCAAGTCTGCCTCCACTTGACATGGGGCCACCTCCCGTGGAGAGCAGCACCCAGCGTGCGTGGGGTAATTCCCCCTCTCTGCTGTTTAACGTCCTACATTTCACCCTGGGATGTGTTACAGATGCACGAGACTGTTGTTACTTTTGTGTAAACTTTTGATCCCCTTTAAAGATATTTAAACATTTTTAAAACCCTGGATTTGCCCTGTGGGTACTGTTCTTGGTCTCCACCTTCTGTGTGGTTGGTGCTCCTGGGTTGCAATTCTGCTTCTCCCTGAAGGACTCTGTGGGCACTTCTCCCCTGAGCACTTGCTGAGACCCCTCCCCTCAGCTTGCGTCTGGGACCATCTCCATTCACCTCTGTTGGGACAGCTGCTTCACAGGGCAGAGACCCCTGCGTCAGACTTCTTCCTGCAGCTCTGTGGAGGTCTCGGCTCACGTCTTCTTGCTTGCTAACGAGAAGTCCCTGCTGTCCCTGGCCCAGTGTGTCTCCTGAGCTGCGTCTTTCCCCGACTGGTGACTGCTCTGAGCGATTTGAATGTGAGCTCCCTTGGTAAGCTTTTCTTCCTGCTTCTCATGGTGGGCATTTACTGAGTGACTTGGAATTGGGGGTTTACCGTTTACATCAAACGGGGCAATTTTTCTGACACGGTGACTTTAAATGTCTTTTCCACACCTGGCCCTGCTTGAGGGGCCTCGGGGCACCTGTTCTTGGCCTCCGGAGTTGCTGTCGGGCAGGGCTCGGATTTTATTGAGTTGCTCTTGTTGGGGTTTCTGTTTGCTTTTGGTTTTCTGCGTGTGTGTTGTAGAGTTTCTCTGCGGTGACTGATGTCACTCATTTTTCTTTTGCGTTCTGATCTGCCTTCACCTCGGCGGGTCCCCTGGAGTCCCTGACTGTAGAGGTGCTACCTGAATGCTCTTTACCCCTCAGGTGTCTACTGTTGAACATACGAAACCTAGTTACGATGGTCTTCTCCATGTCCCCGCCTGCCTGTTGTGATATTTGTGCCCTGGGTGGGGACGATCACCCCCAGAGGTGCGTCTGCTGGGCAGGGGTGCAGTTGCCCCCAGAGGTGCGTCTCATGGGTGGGGCAGATTCGCCCCCAGTGGTGCGTGATCACCCCCAGGGATGTAGCCCCCAGGGACGGTGCTCATCGCACAGTGAGCGCTTGGTGTGGTCCCGTAAATACCCTCCTTGATGGCGATTGCTCCGTTGCTGATGCAAGGCTGGCTCGCGGGTCTCAGCTGGCATTATTTCTCTTATCATTGGCCCAGTAAGTTCCGCTGGTCTTGAGAGAGAAATGAAAAGCTGAGTCCTCATACGTCCCGCCCCCTCTTAGGAGCTCTTTCTAAATGGGCGTTTCTGTGGCTTGTTGAAGAATTCAGAACTCTTACGAAACACCACAGGTCGTTTGGACTGACATTGATAAGATTTTTTGGAATTCAGCCGCAGGGATTCAGAGTGGGATATTTTGTGTCTCATTACTATTTAGGCAGCCGGTAACAATCCCGAGAGATGTCACAGAACCAGGTAAATGTAACAAATTCACGCTCACCCGGCAACGGGGCTCTCAAGTCACTTCTTAATGATTTCTTAAGACATAGGACTATCATCCCAACCATCGCCGGACAAGTCAATAAGTTTTATGAGAACACAGCCGCCGCTGTAGGACACGCGTAGGTGGATTCGCGGATTGGTAAAGTGAGTCACCAGGCCGGTAGCAGCTGTTAACTCAGGGCTCACTGCTGGATCGGAGGGTGCACAGAGCAGACACCTGCAGCACCTCCAGCATCTGCCCCGACCCACTCTTCCTCCTGCCCACGGAACCGCTCCCCCTACTTCTAGTTCCCTGAAGGCAAATACGCAGGGGAAGAGAGCTCTTACCTGCAAATATTGACAAAGCCACGCGTCCCTTTACACACCTGTTAGGAGGGACTGTGACTTGCCAAGAGGTCTAATACGCCTGCAGGAGCTCTGCACAGCTATTTGGGGAATTTGGTTTTTATTCACCAAATTCAGCCCCACGCACATGTCCTCGGCCACCCAGGGTGGTTCCTCATGGTTTTGTCCATGTCCTCGCTGCTCTGCACAGACAGCACACCCCTGGAGACCCTTGTGCAAAGAACTGACCCTCCTGGTTCTGAGTGTGGGTGTCCAGGAGGGTGTGAAAGGGGGAGGAGGAAGTTTCCCTTTCGTTTTCTCCAAAGCCAACTCCTGTGTGCACAGGGACACACTGCGGCACTCAGGGCATCGCTGGCCGTCCCAGGACATGAGTGGCTGTGGCCCATGAGGAGACGTCCTCGAGGATCAGGCCATAGTCAACAGTCGTGTTCCTTCACCAAGGGAAACCCGGCAGTGTGCACACCTAGGGTCAAAGTGGCCACCTGCAGTGGTCAAAATTCACTTTGTAGTGTTAGTGTCCATCCAAAAACAAGTGAACGGTTCTGTAAAAAGAGAACCTCACGACCAGTCGAATGCTCCAAAAGAAAGATCAAACGCCCCTTTGGTTTTCCTCCAGTCTTTGAGGGGTCAGTTCAAGGTCAGTAGTTGCTGTGTAGAGAACTGGTTCCTAAGGCACCCGCTGTGAGGCTCTGTGTCGGGCACGCTCAGCCACAACTCGGAGAAGCACACACGGAGCCCCGGCCCTGCAGTCATCCTGGGTGCCACCCGCCAGTCTAGAAATACACAGAGCATTTCTGGATTGTCTTGTGGTATTTTTAAGTCACACATTGAACATCAGTGTGTATTAAATTCATTCTGTAGGGGGAAAAAAAACCAACCTAAAAAGAAATTTTTGCAAGCCGGAAAACCGGCAAAAAGCAATTAATTCCTCCGAAACTCAAAAAAAGTTCAAAAAGCCAAAAAATTAAAAAAAAAAATCCCAGCAACCCCGGCCCGGAAGCCCTGGCAAAAGGAAAAAACCTCAACGGAACAAAGGTTGGAATAAAGAAAAAACCGAAAGCCCCGCCAAAAACCGAACCCCGCCTGGGGAAAACCGGCCCGGGAAAAACGGGCAAAAGAAGGCCGCCCCGGTTCCGGCCCCCCGTGCCCTGCTGTAGTCTGCAAGGAGAAAGTGTGTCACAGATCATATCAGCTGTGGATCTTGATGAAGAAAAAGTAATTCTAAGGAAGGTCTCAGGGCTGGGGCTACAACCGGCTGAGCTAGCTGTGTGACCTTGGGGAAGGTTCTTGACCTCCCTGAGCCTGTTTCTCCTGTTTCAGAAAAGACACGTGAGATGGGGCAGCGATTCTCACCCTGGGACTTGTGGCTGATTTTATCACATTTACAGAAAACGCTCGTCTTTAAAGAGCAGGCTCCTGCCTCTCTGCCCCTTCCTACACCGCAGCCAGAGTCGTGGAGACAGTGAAAACCAGCCAGTCCTCTGGCAGGGGGTGAAAAAGACTCTTCAGCACACTGAAGCTGGAGAGATGCTGGGCTTTGGGTATTTAAACCCACAGAATGTTTAGTACATACTAAAACGTGGTTTAAAAAAAACATGAACCAAGGGCCAGAGACAGGACTCTAGAAAGAAATCTTTCAATTCTCGTTTTCACTACCAGCTTAAAAGGGGGTAGGGTAGATCTTTTTCCCTGAAGAAGGTCACTCCCAGCTCCGAGCGCCTCCCGTGCACCCGCTGTGGCCGGCCCTGCAGAGTGCCCCGAGGAGGCAGACCCTTCTTACAAGTCAGAGAGCAGCCACAGGGCTCTAGAAGTGGCTGGGTACTCAGAAGGAGTGTGTGGACAGTGACCTCGGCCAGGTAAACCAGCAGGAGCCTCTGCCCTGAGCGGCGTTCCACGTTGGACTCAGCCCTGGCCCTCGGGAGACGGAAGTGCGGCCAGTAACTTGGCGCCCAGGGACGCCTGTGCCGCGGCTTACAGCGGGCACTGCCGGGTGCTCCCTGGGTGGTTCCACT